CCACACCAGCCTTGAGTTGCTCCAGCTCCCCCCGCAGGTTCAGGACCTGCCTGTGGCCAGCCTGAAGCCTGGAGCCTTGGCTGCTGACCTGCTCCTGGATGGCGTGGACTTCGGCTTCCACCTTGCGTTCTCGCTCATCCAGGGACGTGTTGGCAGCCAAGAAGGCATCAGAGTACTGGCTGACAGAGTCACTGAGGCCTGTGAGCGACTTGCTCACTGAGTTCAGATTGACCTTGAGCAGAGTGATCTCGCCTTGGAGTGAGCTGCCCGTCCCTTCTGCCAGCTGTCCCTGGACCTCGGCCACAGTGCCATTGAGCTGCTGGAGCAGTGCTGCGTGGCTGGCCACCTGGCGTAGGAGGGCCTCGCTCCGGCTCTGCCAGGCCTTCACCTCTGCCACGAGGTTGTCCAGGATGGCTGAGGTGGTGCTCGGGGCGCACGAAGTCTCCAGTGAAACCAACCGTTGCTCCAGCACGGCCAGCTCTGTCTGCACGAGGGGTCGAGCTGACCTGCCTGGAGGGGCGCTGTCACGGCTTAGCTCCCCAGCCAATGTCACTAGGCGCTCCTCGAGGCTCTGCACGCGCTCTTCCAGCATAGTCCCAGAGCCACCTGCTCCCCACCCCCCCATCTCCAACCTCAGACAGCATCCCCTTGCTCCACCCTCTGTCCCATTGAGCATCTCCAGACCCTCAAGCAGCCCGTCCACACCTCCCTCGAGCATGGCAGCAGACAGCCTCGTAAGCTCATCCCTGGCTGGGGCACCGGGGCCCCTTTGGTTCTCGGTGACTGCCTGCAGGGTCCTCTCAAGGCCATCCATACGGGCATTGATCAAGGCTAGTTGGCCACAGCAGCTGCCCCTGCCAGCCACATTCAGGCCCTGCAGCTGGCTGCCCAGCTGTGACAGCTCCTGGCGCAGGGCTAGCTCCCGGCCATCGAGGCTCTGGTGCAGCCTCCGGCTGGCGGCCTGACCCTCCTCACATTGCCGCCGCACCTCCTGCACTCGCAGGTCGCACTCACTCTGGACGCCTTGCAGCTTCTGCTCGAAGCCATCCAGCAGGCTCCCCCAGAGTCGGTGCAGCCGTCGGTCCACATACTCCTCCAGCAGGGCCAGGGAGGTGAGGGGGGATGGTGGGGCTTCCCGCAGCCGCTGCAGGTGGGCCTCATGGCCGAGTGCCAGCCCATGCACTTTGTCTAGAAGCTGCACCTTGGTCCGAAGAGTGTTGCTCACCTCTGTCACCTTGCTTAGGATCTCGTCCAAGGGAGGTGTTAGCGGCCCTCTGGCTCTGTCTCCTGGGTCCACAAGCCCCTCAGGGATGACCCCAAAGCCCACAGGGGCAGCAGGAGCCCGGGGGCCACCAGTCATCCTATTGGGGTCCTCGTGGCTGGCCACCAGGCCACTGAGGGTACCATATGTTTGGGCCAGGCGCTGGACATCACCCTCCAGGCGTTCCAGCCGCTCACCAAACAGCCCTGGGCCTTTCCTTCCTGGGAAAGAGGAGAAGAGAGCCCCAGGGGGCATCACTGGCCTCATGCTCTCAGCTTGTCACACTGCCAGGCCACCCAAGAGACTTTCTGTTCTAAGCCTACCTTCTCACTCAGCATAACTCCCTCAGCTTTATGGTGGGGTGAAGGTGGGGCTTGGAGGTTCCTCCTCCCCATCCATGCCGGAGCTCAGCTAGCCTGGGATCAGTCCCCTCCCTGCCCCTGCCACTGAGCCCAAGAAACCCAGTCACCTTGGAGGGTCTCCTTGGGCAGACTCACCGTGAGGACTGGGGACTGCTCTGCTGTAGGAAGGGGGCCTGGGACCTGGGCCCAGCTGCCCCGAAGGAATCTGAGGCTCAGGCTCCAGCTGGGGTGGGGCAGCCCCATGGTCCGTGAGGTGCTCAGGGCAGCGTTCCCCAGTGAAGCCAGGACAGCAACGCCAGGCGAGTTCTGTCACTGTCTTGTAGCCAACTTTGTATTTGGGTCTGAGTACTGTGCGGTACCTGGGCCAGGGAGAGCAAGACAGCAGGATCCTGCACCTGAGGGCTGTGCTCCTCCCCCTAGCTGGCACTCAGGGCCACCCTCAGACACTTGCATAAGGCTGTGTGTCTCCCCACCCCCATGCCACCCCCAGGGTTTTACTTTTTCTGTGCTTAAGGTGACAGGGGTGGGGTAAGGGCAGGACTTCCTGGAGCTCACAGTCATGTTAGGGAAGGATGCAGGTAGAAGTCCCACCCATCCTGGTAGCTTGGAGAGAAGCAGGAATTTCGCCCCATCACTTCCCAAGACCACTTGGACCCCTTCTAGCTCATGCTGCCATGAGAAATTCCACTCAGGCTGCAGTGGCACCTGGGAGAACTCAGACACAGCCCCAGCCCTCCCTGTGGGCAGGGAGGGGCACTGCCCTGGAACTGGTGCTGGCAGTCCCCTCACTGCCCTGGGGCCACTCTTGGCTCCCACCTGCTCCCCTTAGTTCTTTCCACTCCTCTGTAGCTTGCTCTGGGACCTTGGCTCTGGTCAGAGAGGCTGGTGGATGGGCACCTCTGATTGTGAGCAGGGAAGGGAAGGTCTGGGGTGCAGGCAGGCTCACGAGGGTCCATGCCCTCACCTGTTCAGCCACATACCTGTTTACCCACTGACACACCGGATAACAGGTTTGTTTCCACACACACATGTGAACCTCTCCAAGTACAGACCTGTGCATCCCACGTGCATGCAGTCCCACAGGTCCTCACGTGCAGCCCTGCTGCTCCGGCTTCCTCTCCCTGCCCCATGGCCTGCCTCCTTGTGGTCACCACGGTCCTCCCTGGGCCTGCTAGGCCCCCCTGTGGCATCACCCATTGCCTAAGGGTGGGTGCTCCCTCCTCTCCCCTCACCTTCTGCTTCTGTCACTTCCTCCTAGCCTTGTGCTGCCTCTGCCCCCAGAACCCTCCCCTTGCCCCTCTGTGGTTCCTGGGCTCCAGCCCAAGCCTGCCACTGTCTGTGCAGGTGATACTCTGCTGCAAGCCCAAATCCCTGGGATCCTCCCTGGCACCCTCTTTTCTGGGGCCGCCTTCTACTCTGGCCTGTATGGGGGCTCAGGTGGGCTCTCTGGAGTCCAAGAAGCCCTTCTGGAATTAGCAGCTGCTCTCGGCTGAAGGCAGGACTGGCGCTTGTGCCAGGGGATTCCAAGGGTGTAGGTGAGGACTGCACTTACGTGACTGTCCCCGGGCACTTGGGCCCCCATCCACACTGCCGGTATTCAGCCTTTACGTAGCTCTCCGCTCCCTCCTGTAGGATGCAGGTCACATTCCTGTGCACCACATAGGCACAGAGGGCCCTACAGGAGAAAATGGTACCCCTGGAATATCTGGCTGAGCGAGGCCCACGGAGGCTCCTACCCTCCCACCTCCGTCTGTGGGCCTCAGCAGGGCTCCAGACCCCATGTCTCTTCTGTCAGTTCTCTGTGTCCCTGGAAGCCAACGCCCTTGGTCTGGGGTCCAGCCCCACTGCTGTTCTCTGATTCCAGCCTCCCTGATGGGTGGCCCCTGGGCTAAGCACTATTTGGAACCAGGAGTCTGATGTGGCTGCCCCTCCCTGCATGGGGAGGAAGCCAGCCCGGATTCTCCCTCAAGTGCCCTGCCACACCCCCATCCTTCGCTGATTCCAAACTCCTTATCTTGGCATTCAAGGCTCCTGAGTCCCCACTCGGTGACTCCTTTGAGAGCACCATGTCTTGTCCTTCCTCCCCTGCCTGGCTTCCAGAGAAATCCACCTCTCCTTGTAGTTTTGCAGCCCTTGCCTTTGGTCCTGTTCCCTCACTCTCAGAGCAGTTATTGTACCTCCTCCTCTAGGAGGTTCGCTCTGATGTACCCAGGCCCACTGAGTGTCTGTACTCTTCCTCCTACAACAGCGCTCAAATTCAGCTAGAATTCAAGTTCAGCCAGCACCCCAGGCAGAGCCTCCAGCCCACTTAACTGAGGCCAGTTTGCAAGCCACTGCCCACGAAACACCAGAAGCTGAGGCGGGGGCAGCAGGCTCTTTGATGAGCCACAAGGGCTGAGGAGGTGGCTGCCTGGCATAAGCCGACCACTGTGGACGGCTATGCCACAGCACGGGCCCGGAGCCAGGAGCCCGCACTGGCTCTGCAGCCAGGCCACGCTGGGGCTCCCATGCGGTTGCTGGGGCCAGGCTGACTGCGAGGGGGGAGCGGCCGCCCCGATGCGCAGCTCCATCTCCTACCTGGCGGGGCAGGGGAGAAAGGGGAGGCCCGGGGCGAGGGAGCCCCGCGTGCTTAGAGCGCGGACCGCCCTTCCTCCTCTCGCTCCACCTGGTCCGCTCGCCCGGAGTCTGCACACAGCGCAGCTGGAAAATGTTACTTCGCTGGAAAGGTTTCCGCGGGCACTGCCAGGATCCCAAGCCGCCGCGCCAGGCCCCCCTCGGTTCCTTTTTCCGCGCCAGCCCCGCAACCTCCCGGAGCGTGGGGCGCCCGCCTGAGCAGGGGCTCTGCCCCAGGCGCCGCCGCCTCCATGCAGCGGCCTCGGGGGGCCGGTGGCCTCGACGCCCCCCGCGGGTGCGGGCAGGTGGGAGCGGCGGCGCGCGCGGGCCCATTCCTCCCTCTTCCCGCCCGCCGCCCGCCCGCGCTTACTTGTGCGGCCCCGGGCGCAGCCGCGGGCGCCATCCCGTCGTGTAGAGACTGTAGCGGGAGGCACCGGGTGGCGCGGGCCGCGCCAGGAGCGGGGTGCCCTTGGCCTGCGCCCCCGAGAGCAGCGCCGCGACGGCGCACAGCCAGACGGGCAGGCGGCGGCGGCCCATCGCGGTCCCCGCGCCTCTGCCCGGCCCCGCGCGGTGCCCCCCGCCGGGTGTCCGCCCGCAGCGCCGCGCCGCCCTCGCCGCTGGTCGGCCCGGGTCCCGCCCCGAGGGTCCCGTGGTCCCCTTCGACCCCCGAGCTCGCTGGCCCGGCCGCCTGGCGCTTCGCAGTGGCTGCGTCCCGCGGAGTGGCCGGCGCTGCTCGCGGCTGGGGCCGCGGAGGGGAGGCGGGAGGCGGGCTCTTTGCGGATTAGCATAAACTTGGGGCCGCGCCGCTCGCCGCCGCCAGCCCCCTTCGCCGCCGCCAGCCCCCCGCCCCAGCTCCGAGCGGACAGCCGAGGGGCCGCCTGCGAACAGGAGGTTCCGAAGGGAGCAGCCCCGGGTGGAAGGGGCGCAGGCCGCCGCGCCCTGGGAGGCCCCAGAGCACACCAGCCACTCTGTCGCCTGCGGGCCCAGGACCGAAGCAAAGAAGCGGACCCCTGAAGCCAGCCTAGGGGTGGGCTCTCCAGGAGCCGCCCACCCGCAGGATACGGGTGTCTTCAGAGTCCATGTGAACCCGGGAACTGCTCTCCAGGGCTCTGGAGCCGAGATGGCCGTGTTTGGGGGCACACCAGCACCACCTCCCCCGGCACCTCTTTGGAATAGACCCCAGATCATCCCCGTTTGCTCGCTCTGCCTCCTGGTACCATCATTATCTGGGTGTGCCCGGGACCCTTAGTTTGATAACTCCGCTGACCTCTCCCCAGGCGTCCTACCTCCCCCTTACCCCGCAACCTCTGCCACCTAGCCTGGTGGCCCTGTTGCACCTCTAGTTCTCTGGAGAGGCTTGTGTTTCCTGTCTGTCTTAGGTATGGGCTGCACCGAGCCCGAAAGGCCCATCACCGCCCCAGCCGAGCCAAAAGTGCTGTGCTTTTTGTGCAACTGAAGCTCGAAGCCGGCTGGTCAAAGAAAATCTTCAGGTCTTTCTCACGAGTCACTGCCGCCGTGAAGCCAGGCGTCGTCCACATTTTGCTTGTGAAGTTGACTCTTGGAACCCAAGAGGTGGGTTTTATCGTCGTCCTCATTCAATATCACCTTGCTAACTCTCTAACCTGCACAGAACCCTTGAATCCTGATTCTGTCATCAGAGTGGTACTTTCCTGGACTTGTCTCATCCACACCGGTGGCTACAGCCTTCTGTGTTTTTGCCCCAAGAGCTGATAGGTGTACAGAATGCACGGAACTCTGGGGCTTGCCTGGAGAGACCTCCCTCCAAATTGACCTTGAGATATGAATTAGTACCCTTTGGACAGGGCGATGGTTATGAAGGATACTGGAAGGGGCAGCTCTGAAACCCACATCTATTCCCTGCCCCCAGCTTTAGTGGCTTGTGGGTTCTGTGGGGCAGACACCTGACCCCAGCTAGGCCCATTCTGCTTTCTCCCAGGCTTTGGAATCAGAACACAGAAGCTGAAGGAATCCAGTTTCCAGGTGTAGGTTGTGTGAGTTTCTCAGGGCTGTGGTAACAGCCACAGGCTCAGTGGCTTAACACACAGAAATGTATTCTCCCACAATTCTGGAGGCTAACTCTAAAATCCAGGGGCCAGCAGGGTCATGCCTGCTCCAGTGGCCCTGGGGAGAAGCCTTCTTTGCCTCTTCCAGCCACTGGTGGTTCCTGGCAATCTCTGGCATTCTTTGGTCAAGGATTCTTTGTAGCAGCATCACTCCTACCTCTGCTTTCGCCTCCACATATCCCTGTTCACAGGACCTTTTTTCTCTGTGTCCTTTCCTCTTGTTTGGTCTGTGTCCTTTCCTCTTGTTTTTGTTTTTTGTTGTTGTTGTTGTTGTTGTTGTTTTGAGACGGAGTCTCGCTTGGTTGCCCAGGCTAGAGTGCAGTGGTGTGATCTCAGTTCACTGCAATCTCCGCCTCCCGGGTTCACGCCATTCTCCTGCCTCAGCTTCCCGAGTAGCTGGAACTACAGATGCCCACCACCACGCCTGGCTAATTTTTTTGTTTTTAGTAGAGATAGGGTTTCACCGTGTTAGCCAGGATGGTCTCGATCTCCTGACCTTGTGATCCGCCCGCCTCAGCCTCCCAAAGTGCTGGGGTTACAGGCATGAGCCACCGTGCCTGGCCTTTTTGGTTTTGTTTTTAAATTTGAGACAGGGCTGGGCGCGATGGCTCACGCCTGTAATCCCAGCACTTTGGGAGGCCGAGGTGGGTGGATCACCTGAGGTCAGGAGTTTGAGACCAGCCTGACCAATATGGTGAAACGCCATCTCTACTAAAAATATAAAAATTAGCCGGCCGTGGTGGCAGGTGCCTGTAATCCCAGCTACCTGGGAGACTAAGGCAAGAGAATCGCTTGAACCCTGGAGGCGGAGGTTGCAATGAGCCAAGATCATGCCATTGCACTCCAGCCTGGGTGACAAGAGTGAAACTCCATCTCCATAAATAAATAAATAAATAAATAAATAAATAAATAAATAAATGCAAGGTCTAGCTCCATTACCCAGGTTGGAATGCAACCTTGACCTCCTGAGCTCAAGTGATCCTCCTGCCCCTGCCTCCTCTGTAGCTGGGACCACAGTTGTGCACCACCATACACAGCTCCTTTTTAAATTTTCTGTAGAGATGGGATCTCACTTTGTTACCCAGGCTGGTCACAAACTCCTGAGCTCAAGTGATGCTCTCACCTCAGTCTCCCAAAGTGCTGGGAGCCACTGCACCCAGCCCAGCCTCCTCTTCTTATAAGGACACCAGTCATTGGATATAGGGCCCAACATAACCTCATCTTAAATAAGTACATCTGAGAGACCTATTTCCAAATAAGGTCACGTTCTGAGGTTCCAAATGTTCATGAATTTTGGGAGGGGCCCAGTTCAGTCCACTACAGGGACACTTGGCTGGTAATGATAGGAGAGACCACGAGAGCTCTGGGGGAATCATGGGAAATGGAGAAAGAGGGTGGTCAGGGGAGAGTGGGGCAGAGTCATGGGGCTGTGTGGTGAGTAAACATCTGTGGACAAGCTGTGTCTTCCCTATCTGCTTCCCAGTAGTCCACCACTGGAGCTAGCTTGAATGGGTTTCTGATCCCAGCAACCAAATGCACCCTACAGAGAGAAACTTCTCTAGTAAGGAACTGTAGAAATGATCCCTGGAAGTATAGTCTTACAGCAACCAAATGGTGCCTAAGACAGCCTCTCGCTCTCCCTATAAAACCACCGAATGTTTTATTATATTCTCCAACCTCTAAGAGAGATGTTAAGAACCATTTTGCTGAGGACAAGACACACCGTATCCACAACACGCTCTTGATCTTGTAACCACTGACTTTGCGCTTTTTAGGAAGTGAGAAACATCTGAGGGGAACATGAACAGAGCCAGCTCCTCATCCTAGGCTGGGTGCTGACTGCCTGGCAGCATTACCCAGACTGGCTCTGGGAGGAAACTCCCCCACCCCAGAGGCTGTGATCTTTTTCCAAGGGGTCCCACCCCTTCCTCTCATTCCCTTCCCCAGCCCCAGCTGTAGAACCCAAAACTCACAGGGAAGAGGCTGGACTCTGTTTGAGCTTGGGAATCTCCATGTCACAGGGGCTGAAAGGACAGCTGGACCCCACTTCCCCCTTTTCCAAGTGGCTGACATCAAACCCCATGCTCCCTCTTTCACTGCAACAGTTTTGGGAGCCAGGATTGGGCCCCATTCTAGTGGAGGTGGAGGACCTCAGTACAGGGAGATGCTCAGGGTCTTGGCTGGATCAGGCCAGAGCTGGGATCCCCCCAGTAGACGATGAGGCGACTTTGCATCTGCCAGACAGGAAACCTAGGGAGGCCAGAAGCAGAGGAGGAAAGGAGGCAGTCACGTTCCTCTGATTCAGACTGGAGTTTCTACACCTGAATGGAAACGGGCCACACACAGGAGTGGGAGTGCAGTTTCTATTCACAGGGACATGCACAACCACATCCAGACACACCCAACCCATCCCCCATACCACTATCACGCATGTGCATGAACACACACAGTTTTTCCTTTTGTACAGATGGGGTCTCACTGTGCTGCCTAGGCTAGTCTCAAACTCCTGTCCTCAAGTGATTCTCCTGCCCAAAGTGTTGGGATTACAGGGGAGAACCCCATGCATCCTGCCTTTTCTGTTTTCTTTTCTTTTCTTTTCTTTTCTTTTTTTTTTTTTTTTTTTTGAGATGGAGTCTCACTCTGTTACCCAGGCTGGAGTGCAGTGGCATGATCTCTGCTCACTGCAACCTCCGCCTCTCGGGTTCAAGGGATTATTCTGCCTCAGCCTCCCAAGCAACTGGGATTATAGGCACACGCCACCACACCCAGCTAATTTTTTGTATTTTTTTTTTTTTTTTCCAGTAGAGACAGCGTTTCGCCATGTTGGCCAGGCTGGTCTCAAATGATCCGCCCACCTCGGCCTCCTAAAGTGCTGGGATTACAGGCATGAGCCACTACATCCGGCCTTTCCTTTTCTTATTGAGGGCCCAGCACAGAAGATTATTAAAAACCACACAAAGTTGTGTGGGATGAAGTTCCCCTAAAAAACACAGAAATAGAAAGCACTGAAGCTGCTGGCTTTCTGGCACAAGCCCTTCCTGCTGCAGATGGACCCCTCCTGCACAGGGACCACAGCCCTTGAAGGTACCAGCCCTAAGGTACAGCCCTTTGTCAGTGCCCATCTCCCCTACCCTCTTTTTTTTCTTTTTTGAGAGTGCACAGCTAGGCCTCCCTGCACACAGAGCCACCTCTGGAAGTTCTGTGCAGTAAGGCTCTTTGCCCAGGCTCACTTTTTTCTGCACATCATCACCATCAGCATTTTGATTATACCTGCACCATCAAAACAGGTTATACCAAATGCAAATGAGTTTCTGGGGCAGGAGTTTGCACTGACCCCATCCAGCTGGGCAGAAGCAGGGCTTTTCCAGGATCCTGGCGGGGGATAGATGTGCAGCCTGAAGGTGAGGTCCTGGAAGAGTCCAGAAATTGTGGAAACTGGGCTCTGTAAAGCCTGGACAGACTTCCATTGAGTGAGAGTAGCTTAGGAACAACTTAGAAATTGTAAAATGCTGATGGACTCTCAGCATGGACATATGCAAACCAGATGCAACATTATGCAAATTATATACAAAATACATGCACAGGTCTCCCAACTATTGCAAATGCCAGATATGGTCCTTGAGGACCCTGAGTTTAGCTGAGACCTGTTGTGGGGCAGAGAGATCACCCTGGACTTGCTCCTTCCTCCCTACCCTCCCTCCCTCCCACCCTCCCTCCCTCCCTTCCTTCCTTCCTTCCTTCTTTCTTTTTTTTTGTGTGTGTTGAGACTGACTCACACTCTGTTGCCCAGGCTGGAGTGCAGTGGCGTGATCTTGGCTCACTGCAACCACCGCCTCCCAGTTTCAAGCCATTCTTGTGCCTCAGCCTCTGGAGTAGCTAGGACTACACGAATGAGCCACCACACCCAGCTAATTTTTGTGTTTTCAGTAGAGATGAGGTTTTACCATGTTGGCCAGGCTGGTCTTGAACTCTTGACCTCAAGTGATCTACCTGCCTCGGCCTCCCAAAGTGCTGGGATTACAGGTGTGAGCCACTGCACCCAGCTAGGACTTGCCAATTTTCTTATGGTGGGCAGGAAGGGCTTTGCTCCAAGGTGGTTCACACACTGGGGGGAAGAAATCAGGCAAGGAGTCAGTTAGACTCGGGTTTGAATCCCAGCTCTTCCACTCACAAGTTGCATGACCTCCTTGGAGTCACTTCACCCCTCTGAGCCTCTGCTTTCCTGTAATAAAATGATTATTATTATGAGGAATAGATGAGAACTTTGGCCAAGGCTCCCATGTGCACAGTCGTGCACATAAAAGATGCCCAGTGAGTGTGGCAGGGCTCTGCACAGAGTCCTTTCTTGGGGGTTGGATATCTGGGGCTCCTTTCTAGTCACTGCAGTAGCAACTATGCCCCCTCAGCTCATGGGCAGGACCTTCTTGCAAGGCAACACATGCAGCTCTGGGTTTGGAAAATGTCAGTGCTTGGATGGGCCAGGAATCC